GGACTTGATTGCCTGTATGGACTTTAACAAATCATCTGACTCTGGGTCTGGGCTTCAATGTCATAACAGTCAAGGGGAAGAGTTGGACTAAAACAAGGTACTGCCAGAGATCCCTCCAGTGTGGAACATTCTATGATACATTGTAGTCTAAAGAACAGAAAGTCACATAAGTTTATAATAACTTTTAGCACTTACCTACACACTAATTTATATAAAATTGTATTTATTTATATTCCAGGAATATATATTCCTCAGATTATATATATACATTTCTTAAATTATACACAGATTCTAATATACATACACACATATTTCTTTTTGTCCAAAAAAAGACATACTCAACATATTGTTTAGTCTTCATAAAACAATTACCATGTTTTTCCCTTGCCATGCTAAGGTAAGGAGTTACAAACTCAATGCCTGTCAGGACAGGGGGCCAGCCACATTAATGAGTAAAGCAGTCCAGTGGGGAATGACAAACTCTACTCCATGTACCAGCTGAAGGGGATGCATGGAATAGCATCCCCTTGATAGCCACTGTCTGGCTTCAAGCCCCAGCTGCCATATGGGAATGTGAACCCAGGTTAGTTGTACTTTTCTTTCAAAACTCAGAAATTGTTTTAGGTGTAATCTCTTTATATTTAAGTGCTGGCAACCAACACAAATAATTTTAAAATGTGCACACCAAACACAACAGGCTGAGGCTACCAGTACGTGTTCTGCCCTGAAGTATGCTATCCTTCTGTGGCTTTTAAACCTGAAAAACGTAAAACAAGAAAGAAGCCCTCTTAAGTTCCTAAGACAGAGTTCTGACCTCTGGTTTATAAGTTAAGTTTGACCAGCAACACTAGTCAGAGACTTAGAGCTACCATTCCACAAAGTGCCTATAAAGAAACCTACAAAATGCATTTGTATGGGGTTTGAATGGAGACTAGAACACCTGACAAATAAATTCTTTGTGTACCAAATGTCAGGTGGATTTTAACACTTAAAGATAAAAACATGAGAACAGAATTTACATTCTGTTAATAGCAGCCATATATCCTTCAGTGAATTCAAAATAGAAAAACAGTTTTTTGGACAGCAATATCACTATATTTTTTGCTTTCAAAAGAAAAACAATCCTTCTCTTTTCATTATACTTTTTTTAACATGGAGTGCCTGCTAAGCCATCTGACACTCATTAGCAGGAGGAGACCAGTGCACATGGAGTATTCCATACTAGAGGCCAGTGTGTTAACCATTGTGCTGTAGTAACATGATCTTCTGCTGCTCAATCACCCTTACACCATTGTCACAGTGGAAGGAGAACCATTGTTAATGAAAAGGAGTTTACATCCAGAAGGGTTGTCCTGTACATACCCAATGGTTGAGAAATCCATGTGAAAAGCATAAAAAGAAAACCAGATGAAAAACAATAATCCCATAGTATTTATGATAAAGCTCCCATGATGCCCCCCCAAAATGCCTGGTAGCAACCTGTGTTCCAAGTGTATTTCATAATGTCTGTAATGGCAGAATTGATAGTGTTCTAGTGCTCGACATAAAACCTATAAAGTTCTTCAAAAAGGGAGAATGTATTTTTAAAGAATGGAAAGAAGTAAGGGAGAGTATAAAGCTAGGTATTTGGGCACATGATTCCAGTCTGTCTCACTAAAATGCAACAAAAACAAGAAAGGCTTTCTTGTCATGCTCACTAGTTGCCTGCCTCAGGTGGTAAATAGTAGGATAAGTTTTAAGCAAATCCCTAAACCTCACTAGTACTTGGGGGAAAGGAAGAAGGTTGTAGAAATTGGGAAAGATGGGCTGTATTAGGCTGTTTAGTATATGAGAGTCTGAATGAATTCTAAATCTGGAGGAACCTCCAGGTGTGGAAAGAGATGATAATAGCAGCACTAGGAAGAGAAAGGATAATTAGATAGCAATACTTTAAGTGTTCCAGGCACAGCACTACACAGTTCTTATTCCCATTTAACAAGTGAGAAAAGTAAAATCCAGCATGGTAATTAGGTCCAAGTCGTACAGCTAATAAATGGAATAGCATGGATTTGAATCCTACTATCCATCCTAGAAGCCAATGTCTCAACCACCACCCCATACTGTCTCCCAAAGTTGGAGATAAAATTGAATAAAAGCAGGTAAAGACAAAACCAGAGATGAGAAAACAAAGGATGACTTCAGAAATGCTTGTGGAGGGATGACTTTGAAAAACTAATGCAGGGACAGTCACTCCAAAGAGAGAAGTGAGGTTGACTCACTATATTGAAATGGGTCTCCCTGCTGCTAATTGAGAAGCCAATGGTTTTCCTTTTCCTTTTCCTTTGGCCACCTATAACAGAATTAACTATGCTTAAATATGTACCCACAAGTTATGAAATTTGACCACCAATCAATTTCTCAAAGTTATAAACAGACCAAATGATCTCTTGTAAAGGGTAGCTCAATTCTATGATATGTAAGTATGCATATATGAGTGTTTACTGATGACAAATTATATCTGAATCTCAAAGTACCTCTAATTTCTCACTCTTTTGTTAATTATAATTAGCTCTTTCAAAGTCAGCTGCACATGTATGCTTATCCTTTATTACCAATATGCAGAAAAATTTTCTGAATAAGAAATGTTCTCTCAGGACCTTCCTCCATCCTTTTATACATAAAAGGAGGCCATACAAGTTATGGCCTTAAATATTGTTGTTTAAAACTACATCAGAAGGTACATTCATTAGCACTAGAGATGTTTAAAATTATTGTTTATTGGTAAAATAAGTAGTATTCAAGACACACGATTAGCTGAAAAGATTATGTGTCAAAACCTAAGAACCTCGTACTTTGAGGACTACACAGGGGTCTAGATCTAATGTGTTACTATGAAAGAACTCTGATACCTTTCATCTAGAAAGTTGGTCAGTTCTGCCATTGAAACAATATTATTTGCTCCTCAGAGTAAATATTTTATATGAGATACCTGCTGCAGTATGTGAGTGTGGCAAAGAGAGACTTCAGGTCTCAAAGAAACAAGTTGTATGACTTTTCTGGTCTTGATTCCTAATACATCTCTATCCATATGGCAGAATTCTGGATAAAACTTGCATTAAATACAATATTCCACAGGGCAGTGAGGGTATGAGAGGAGTAAATGTATACCTCTGTCTACTGCTAACTGCTACTATTTTGGCCAGGAGATTCTGACAGTTTTAGGATGGCCAAATTGGCTCAGTTCAGTTCTTGACACCCTTACCCCGGCTGACTGACTTTCTAGCACCTGAGCATCAGCACAGGGCTTACTAATCAGCGAGGATGTGACTATATCAATCTGCCTGGTTGTGGTTGGAAACAGTTGGAATAAATGATCCAGTTAAACACTGAGATCTCCTTTCACAAACTCTGAACCCATTAAATATCACAAACAGGACTGCCTGAGGGTATCAGAGATCAGTAATTATAAAAAGAGCCAGAAAACAATGAACAAAATGGGAATAAGTACATAACTATCAATAATTACTTTAAGTGTAAATGGATTAAATTCCCCTACCAAAAAATACAGAATGGCTGAATGGGAAGAAAAATAAAACCCATCTATATGCTGCCTACAAGAGACTCAATTAAGACATAGAGACACACAAAGACTGAAAGTGAAGGGATGGAAAAAGACATTCCAGGCAAATGGAAACCAAGATAAAGCCAGAGTAGCTGTACTTATACCAGAAAAATAAACTATAAAACAAAGACTATAGTAAGAGTCGAATAAAATTTTTACATAATAATAAAAGTGACAATCAAAAAAGAAGATGAACCCAACATAGGAGCCCCAAAGTATATAAAGCAAATATTAACAGACCTAACAGGAGAAATAGGCAGCATTACAAAAATAGTATGGAACTTTAATACCCAACTTACATCAATGGATAGGTCATTTAGAAAGAAACTCAATAAGGAAACATTGACCTAAAATGACATGTCAGATCAGAAGAACTTAACAGATATTTACAGACTATTCTATTCAAAAGCAACAACATACACATTCACCTCAAGTGTACATAGAACATTTTCCAAAATATATCATAAGATAGGCCATACAATAAGTCTAACTAAATTCATAAAAACTGAAATCATATTTAGTATATTTTCAGAGCACAATGGTATAAAGTTAGAAATTAATTACATAAAGAAAACTGGGACTACAGGGCCCAGAAACCATGCTTGAATTAGTGGGTGCATCAATCTGTCCCATGGTTCCAGCGCTGGTTGTGACAGCCATATTACCATTTTTTCAACTGAGGTATGGCTCTACCAAGTAGAATGTTTTTAAGTATATTAACCAGGTGGCCTTACATAAGCATCTGTCAAAGGGAAAGACTGTACAGTAATTGTCACACAGAAGAAACTCCCTGACAAATTACTGGGTTCCAGCATAGTGACTCACTTATTCAAGATAACTGAAAACATTGGCTGTGTTTTCACATTCCATTACAGGCATGACATCTGACAGCAGATCCCAGGTACAGAGGGCATGCTATGAGGCAGCTAATTGGAAATACAGGTATGGTTTTGAGATTCCTGTAGAGGTGCTATGTAAAGAACTGCTGGTATTTTTCAGGTCTAAACACAGAATGCTGAAATGAAGCCTCTTGGTAACTGTATGATTTTAATTGGTAGAGATGTAGAATTGGCCCTCAGGTGCACATGTGTGATCCTACAGGTTACTACTATGGGTTTAAAGCCACTGCAACATGAGTTAAACCTAGTCAACCAATTTTCTTGAAAAAAAGTGCAGAAAAAATTTGGACATTTGAACAGACATTGGAAACTGCGATTATATGCCTGAGAAGTGTTCTGTCAACTGATTTCAAACCTTCAGAAATAGAACTTGGGAGTAGTTATAGTTGAAAATCCTAAATTCAGGATTCTTACAGACACAGAGATTGATGCCCACCTTGTTGCTCTAGCAGAGAGTCTAAGCATTGTAGTTAGTTTACCAAATCCATGATGCCACCTACCTGTATGTTTGTCACAACAAACCAACTTTACAGACATCCTTAGGTTGAAAAGGAACCTCTCTCCCACTCCTCCTGCCACTGAAGTGGTTAGAACTCTGTAGAAATAAAATCAGTGTTCTGGGAGGAAAAAAGAAAGAATACTGAAAATTTCACAAATAAGTGGAGATTAAGCAACATATTACTAAACAACTAATGAGTAAGAAAAGAAATCAAAATAGAAATAAAAACTGTCTTGAGACAAATAAGAAAATGCAACATACAAAAATTTATGGATGCAGCAAAGGCAGTTTGAAGAGGGAAGTTCATAGCAATGCCTATCTAAGAAACAAGAAAATTTTAAATATACAGCCTAACTTTATACCTAGGAACTAGAAAAAGAACAAAGGACCCTAAAGTTGGTAGAAGGAAGAGAGGCAAAGATTAGGGCAGAAATAATAAAAGAGATTAGAAAGATAACAGGAAATATCAATGAAACTAAGAGCTCGTTCTTTGGGAAGATAAACAAAATTGACAAATTTATAGCTAGACTCACCAAGAAAAAAAGGGAACTCAAATAAATAAAATAAGCAATGAAAGAGAAGTTACAACTGATACCACAGGAACATAAAGGATCATAGGAGACTACTCTGAACAATTATATGCTAACCAACTGGACAACTGAGAAAAAAAAAAATGAATGAATTTCTAGAAACGGAATTTACCAAGGCTGAACCATGATGAAATAGAATATCTACACAGAATCTATTACTTGTAAGGAGAGTAAATCAGTAATCAAAAACTTCTCAACAAAAAAAGTGCAGGACCAGATAGCTTTACTGATGAATACTTCTCAATACTTCTCAAACTCTTCCAAAAACAAAAGAGGAGGGTACTCTTTCAAACTTATTTGATGAGACCAGTATTATCCTGACACCAAAAGCAGACAAGTATGCCAAAATAAAATAAAATTATACACCAATATCCTTAGTGAATAGAGATGCAAAAATCCTCAACAAAATACTAGCAAACCAAATTCAAAAGTACATTAAAAGAATGATACACCACTATCAAGAATTACCAAGTAGTGATGGTTTAATACCAAAAACCAGTCTACAACTTATAACACAGTAACAACATGAAGGATGAAAATCACACAATCATCTCAATAGATACCGAAAATGCAGTTTAAAACCTCAACTAATAAAGATCACATATATGACAAGACAAGGCCACAGCTAAGAGCATACTAAGCAGTGAAAAGCTGCAAGTTTTTCCTCTAAAATGTAAGGAACAAAACAAAAATGCCCACTCAACACTTTTATTCAATAAAGTATTTGAAGTCCTAGCAAAAACAATTAGGCAAGATAAAGAAAGAATATGCATCCAGATTGGAAAGCAAAACTGTCACTATTGACATGACATGATTTTATATGTAGAAAATCTGAAAGACTCCATTCAAAAACTGTTAAAACAAAGACATTCAGTGAAGTTGCAGGATACAAGTCAATACACCAAAATCTGTTGCATTTCTATATACTCATAATGAACTATCAGAAAGAAAAATTAAGGAAAACAATCTCACAGCTACATCAAAAAGAATTAAGTACCTAAGGAATAAATTTTCCAGGAAGACAGAAATAATGGAAGAATATTCCATGTTCATGGACTGAAAAAATATTGTTAAAACATCCATACCACCCAAAACAATATATAGATTCAGTGTAATCTTTATCCAGATTCCAAGGGCATTTTTCAGCAAAATTAAAGAAAGAATCCTAAAATTTGTATGGAAACATAAAAGGCCCCAAATAACCAAAACTGAAGATATCACACTCCCTGATTTCAAACTATATTACACAGCTATGGTGATTAAAACACTATGGTGCAGGCATAAAAACAGGTACCTAGATCAACGGAACAGCAAAGATAGCCCAGAAATAAATAAAAACATATATGGTCAATTAATTTATGACAAAAGTCCCAAGAATATAAAATGAGGAAAGGATAGCCTCTTCAGTAAGTGGTGTTAAATGAACTGGACAGCCACATACAAAAGAAAGAAAATGGCCTGCTATCTTAAACCATACACTAAATAACTAAAAATTGATTGAACTTAAACATAAGGCCTAAAACCATAAAACTCCTAGGAAGGTACTATAGGTGGTAAGTTCCTTGACATAGGTCTTGGTGATGGGTTTTTGAACCTAACACCAAAAGCAAAGGCAACAAAAGCAAACATTTAATGAAAAATGGGTAGAAAATGTAAATAGACATTTTTCCAAAGAAGACAAACAGATGATCAAAGACACATAAAAAGATGCTCTACATCTTTAATCACTAGAGAAATGCAAATTAAAACCACAATGGGGTATCATTTCACACATTTTAGAATGGCTAATACTAAAAAACAACAAGAAGAAGAAATAGCTAATGTTGCTGAGGATGTGGAGAAAAAGGAACTCTTGTGCATTCTTGGTGGGAGTGGAAAGTGGTGTGGTGTGTCCAGTATGAAAACCAATAATGGAGATTCTCAAAAAATAAACATAAAACTACCATATGATCCACCAATTCCACTTCTAGTTACTTAGCTCAAGAAAATGAAAACACTCATTTGAAAACACATATGCTGCATTATTTACAATAGCCAAGACATTGAAGCAACCAATTGTCCATCAGTGAATGAACAAAGAAACTGCAGTACATATATACAATGGAATATTATTCAGCCATAAAAATAAAATCTTGCCATTTGTAACAACACAAATGGAACTCAAAGTAAAATACATCAGACTGAGAAACGCAAATATTGTATGGTCTCTCTTACATGTGTAATCTGAAACAACAACAATGACAAAAATAAAAAAGCTCATAGATAGAATACACTGATGACTCAGAGCAAGGGGGTGAATGGAAGCTGGGTGAAGTATTTAATTTTTAATTTAAATGAATAAATGTTTAAAAATTAGATAGAGGTAAAAGCATAGTTTCTGAATCTTCTCAATGCCCCACATAAAAACATACAGAAAAACCTGAGAGTAAAACCAAAAACCCATGGACAAATTTACAACAGAAGTAGATGACAAACATTACCTCAAACAACCAGGTACAAGCTAGTGTGGGAAAGCTAACACTGATCACACATCCTACAGAATAGCAGCCTCCATGTGTAAAGAAGCAGAGGAAAACACCAGGGCAATTGAAGGACCTGAGGAAGAGAACCCCCTAAACTGTAAAAGTACTAAACAAAAAGTGTGGGAAGCAAATTTAAAACAGCAGCTGAACCTGGGGAAAATATTCCTGTTCTAATAGAGTCAGAGGCCTCAAAATAAGAAATTCTGAAAAGCCCTGACTGGGTGGCTCAGTTGGTTGGAGCATCATTCTGTACACCAAAATGTTCTCAGGTTCAAACCCCAGTCAGTACACATACCTAGACTGAAGGTTGGATCGCTGGTCAGGGTGCATACAGGAGGCAACTGATCGATGTTTCTCCCTCACATCGATGTTTCTCTTTCTCTCTCTCTTTCCCTCCCTCTCTCTCTAAAATCAAGAAGCATATCATTGTGTGAGGATCTCTTTTTAAAAGAAATTCTGAAGAGTATGGAGTAGTGATTACATATGACCTCTTGAAACTAAACTGCTGGGACTCCATTCTAGGACAGAATCTTACACCCAGAAAAACATCTGGAAATAGAAGCAAAATTGAAAAAGGCAGAGAAAACTGGAAGGACAGAAAAAGAAAGTCCAAAAGTGGGCAAAAGAAGACAGTCAAGGTATTTTCAAATAACAGGACAGTAGTAGAAAGGACACCAGAATATGGAGCTCTATGAAGTTAAAAGAGCTTTCTAATCAAACCTCCCTATTAAAAGTTCAAAAAAATACTTACATATAAAAAGAGGAAATAGAAAAAAATTTTAATACATTTTATTTATTGTGCCATTATAATTATCCCATTTTTTTCTCTGCTTAATCACTCTCTTCCATGTACTCCACTTTCCTCCAGCATTCTTCACCCCTCTTAGTTCATGTCCATGGGTCATACATGAAAGTTCTTTGGCTTCTCCATTTCCCATACTATTTTTAACCTCTCCCTCTCTATGCTGTACCTACAAATTATGCTTCCTATTCCCTGTATCTTTTTTCCCATTCTCCCCCCACCCCCTCTGTGTTAACCCTCCATGTGATCACCATTCTGTTCCTGTTCTAGTTGTTTGCTCAGTTTGTTTTCAATTTTGCTTTTTTTTTTTTTAGGTTCAGTTGTTGGCAGTTGTGAGCTTGTTGTCATTTTATTGTTCGTAGTTTTGATCTTCTTTTTCTTACATAAGTCACTTTATCATTTCATATAACAAAAGCTTCATGATGATGAACCCTTTATGTTATCTGGGAAGCACTTTATTTGCCCTTCCATTCTAAATGATAGCTTTGATGGATATAGTAACCTTGGATCTAGGCCCTTGCTTTTCACCACTTCAAATACTTTTTTCTAGCCCTTCTTGCCTGTAAAGTTTCTTTTGAGAAGTCAGCTGATAGTCTTATGAGAACTCCTTTGTAAGTAACTGTCTTCTTTTCTCCTGCTGCTTTTAAGAGTCTCTCCTTACCTTTAATCTTGGGTAATGTAATTATGATGTGCCTTAGTGTGTGCTTCCTTTGGTCCAACTTCCTTGGGACTCTCTGAGCTACCTGGACTTGTAGGTCTATTTCCTTTGCCAGATTGAGAAAATTTTCTTTCATTATTTTTTTCAAGTAACTTTTCAATTTCTTGCTCTTCCTTTACTCCTTCTGGTACCCCTATAATTTGAATATTGGAATGTTTAAAGTTGTCCCATAAGTTCTTAAGCCTCTCTTCACTCTTTTTACTTATTATTTCCTCATCCTGTTCCAGTTGAATGTTTATTTCTTCCTTTTGTTCTGAAGTGTTGATTTGAGTTCCAGATTCCTTCCCTTCCCTGTTGGTTCCCTGTATGTTTTTGTTTACTTCACTTTGTATAGTCTTCACTTCTTCCTTTATTTTGCATCTGTACTCAATCATTTCTGTGATTACCCTAATTACCAGTGTTTTGAACTCTGCATCTGATAGGATGGCAATCTCCTCATCACTTAGTTCTTCTTCTGGAGTTTTGATCTGTTCTTTCATTTAGGCC